TGTTAAGATTGAATCAAACAACAAAACCCAGAAATTTCAATCCCATTTTTCTTAACCCCGAAAGATTTTACCGATTTTCCTTTTAATATTTAATTTTTTTATTATATATTTTCCTATCAACGAAAATACCAATGCTGGATGTGGTTGGTAGTAACGATAGTGGTAGTATGATAGTTTTTTCAGGTTGTTTGAAAATAACATCGGTTTTAAATACTCTCAATCATTTAATAATGAACGTTCAATCATTCTTGTAGTCAATGGTGTTTGAACTCATTACTTCTAAGAATATCAACGATTTCTTTAACCACTAAATTAATTGACTCGTGTGACGGTGTTATATTATATAAGGGGACTTCATTTTTTTAGAAAAAATGAAAATGAAATAAAAAGAAGAAGAAAAGATTCCAAACAATATAATTATATAGATTTATCAAATATCGATGATATATATTTTTAATTATTTTAGATTATATGTTAGATTTTAGTTGCAATTAATATATTGGCCTTTTACTGTCGAAACATATATTGGCCTTTAATAATATTAGAATAGATTATTGATTGTATATTTATCTTTTTTTTATGGATTACAAAAATCTTCAAAATTAATTGTTTATGACCAAATATTATTTCATGTCAATGAATTAATCACTTAATTATTATGTTAGTTGTCGACCGTCGTATTCTTGATTGTCATTTTATTTTCTTTTGTTTTTTATTTTCAATAAATTTTTCTGTATGACACGTTTTCTTTTATCTTTTGGTATGTTTTTCAGTCGTTTGGTCGTTGGTTTCATTTATCTTTTTCTAATGGTTGATTATACATTGTCACGATTGATCAAGATGACGTTTATCTAATATATTGTTCATCTTCCCTGCTTTGGATTCTCGGATTGGATTTGGACACCGTTATTCATTCGTGGATAGCTTTTCACGTCGCTCGAATCTGATTTATGGTTTGTCGATAGTTTTAAGTAGTTTGATATTTTTTTATGGTTCGTTTACCAATGTGATCAAATATGTTTTTATCTATCTTTGTTAGATTTTTTTGGTTAGATTTTAATTTTTCCTTATATGGTTCTTATGTGATCTTAAGTTGCTAGTTCTATTTCAATGATTATAAAAAATTGTCCTAATAATATGTATAATTTACGATTATGATTGTAAATTTTTATTGTAATTTAAGATATTTCCTATTTTGAATAAAATTAGTGATTTCTTTCAAAAAAATATTTTTTTTAATCATTTCTATCTAAGGAGGAGAATAAGAATTTTACTCCTAAAAGTAGCGAGCCAACAAATTAGAAGAGAAAAGAAGTATTAATTAAGAGGTTTTAATCATATGTTCTAGAGATGATTGATGAAGATGCATAATTGTTCTGTATTTATATTTTGAAAGTATTTAATTGTTTTATACATATCTCGTACCGTCAATGCACAATAATTTGTTACTCACCATTTAAGGCGAAAAATTTATAATAAATCCTTAATATGAGCATTCAATCGTTTGTTATTTATATGATTAAATATATATTATACATGATATATTATTAAAAATATTTTTAAAAATATATATTATACATAATATATAATGTATCATATAGTCATATCATCAACACTTGTACAAAATATTCTTACTCTACTAGTTGAGACCTACAAATTTTGCATCTAAATATAGCTAAAAAACATTGCAAGTTATTCCATAAGTACACAAATCTAATCATATTTCAGACAAATATTTAAGCGCCACTTTATTACTAGCTTATTATATGATGTGTGTATTGATATAAAAAATTTACTATGTTTTCTAATTATATCTAGATAAAAAATTTGCAAGCCTCGACTAATTCAGTAAGAATACTTTGTATAAGTGTTGATGATATGCCTATATATTATTTGTATATATTATGTATAATATATTTTTTTTTAAATATTTTTTATATTTTTTAATAATTTATCATTTTATAGCTTTTTTATATATATTTATTTTTTGGTAATTTAATTTTTATTTTAGTATTTTTTTATATTTATTTTTTTCAATATTTTTATATTTTAAATCTAAAATAAATTTTATTTTTTAAAAAAAATAAATGAACTTATGAACTTAAAAAAATTAATTTGACCATCAAACAAGATCAAAAAATCATTTTAACTGTAAACATTATCACATTAGCATCATAACGTGAATTATCACATTAACATCGTAACAATCAACATTATGAACCGTCACGTCACGTTAGTATTATGATCCATCACGTCAGTACCGTGAATTATCACATTAGCATCGTAACGGTCAGCGATAGAAAATATTAGTCAAAATGTTACATTAGGTTTGTTTATTGAAATGGAGGGCACAATAAAATAATCCAAATGCCATATTGGGTTTTTTTATAAAAAAAGTGTAAGGACCACAAATACCTTTTTACCTAAATTTTATTTTTAAAAATCTGATTTTTTAAGTAAAACTATAATATATTTATTAGCCAAATAAAACATCATCAACAAAGTCTTGCCACATGCATACAAGAAAAATACATTCATGTCTATTATAAGTAAAATATAACGGTGATCGACCAGTGACATCCTGATGAGCAAGAGTGTGAACAATTGAGACAGCGACATACAAATATGGATCACTCTTACATCCCAAAGCATCAAACATAGAGGAGGAGAACCTGAAGAACATCCGAAGTGAATAAATGAAAAACGAATACTCCTTTAACCACAGTCTCGTCTGACACATATATTTAGGAACCAACAGAATGTCATATGCAAACGAACAAAGGAACCAGACAACGAAAAAGCAAGCAACCATGAAATTTTGAAGAACCATATACCAATAAGAAGACCAATGGAACAAACATATACCGTGAGTCCAAAAACATCGTTAGCCATTATACTTTTTACTAGAAGAAGGATCAAGAGAAAATATTATTTTAAATATGCTAAAATATAACTAAAAATTAATAAAATCAAACAAAGATCGATTAAAAAATAAAAATGACAGAAGTGGTGGGAGAAGACCACCACTGCTGCCTTTGATGAAAAGCTTGTGGTAATCGTCGAGTAGTTTTGTAACTACAACATAGGTTCTATGATAGTATTTTATTGTTAAGCTTAAAAATCTGATTTTAATTATTAAAAATATATATTTTATAATCCTTATTTTATTAATTAATAATAATAATATATGTACTTTTAATTTGATAACTAAAACCATAACAAACCTCGACTTTCTAAAATCATATTGTTTTCATTTTCTAAATTCATTCTCAAATACTCTCCTATCTTCACCCAAATTATATCTACTTTATAAATCTTTTTTCTCTCAATTTTTCATTCAAACTTCTCATGTTTCCATTCATTTTTTTCCAGCAAGATAAGACATCATTTCTATGATAATTAATTGGTTGATTTTTTTCTTGAAGATCAAGCTTAATTTCCCTTTGTATAGTTTTCAAAATCAATAACCAACGGGTGTTGGTTCAAGTGGTAAATTGTTTAATATTGTTAACTGAATTAACCGATAACCGAAGTTTGAAAAAATCATTAACCGTTAACCGATCAAACCCAAAATTAACCAATCATTTAACTAAAAAAATTCCGATTCGACCGGATAATTTGATTTAACCGAATTATAAACACCCCTAATAACTAGTTTTTGTCGTTAAAGTAGTAAAATAAATTTTTATTTTTTATTGTTATTCGATCACACAAACATAATCTAAAAAAATCAAGTCAGTTATGTTCAACCAATAAGAAATTTACGTATATGAATTCTTAAGCTCTCTTTAATAATTTCTATGGTAAATTCATTACTTTAACAATAACTAGTAATGATATAAATAATTTGGATCTAATTAGAGTAATGAAGATAAATGTGAAATTTGAGTAAAATCTAGGGAGTGAAACCAAATTATACCCACATACATAAATAAGCAGATGGGAGTCGTTGCTGTTCGAGGAGGGACCCACCAATCTCATCTAAAAAGTATAAACGATAAAACTACCCACTCCCATCATTTTGTTTTATCCCTCCATTTCCACCCTGGCTTTCCCCTCCACCGGCTACCTTCTCAACCAGTCACCCCGTGCTCCCCACGTGCATCTCCCCCTCCTCCTTTTTAAGTGGTGTAACAAATAAAAAAGTTGGAGAGAGAACCAAAATACCTAAAATAATAATTATTATTAGGATAAACTACACGATTAGTATCTTAACTATCACTTTTGTCCAGTTTTGCACTCAAATTTTACTTTCTTTTAAATCATATATAATATTTAGTTCATGTTTTAATTTGATATATGCCATTAAAAAATTAACAGAACTGTTAACGTAGTATTTTTAAAAAAAATCAATGATGACATGACATTACTTTATGATGATACATCAAAATCACAATTAAGGTTTTAATGGCGAAGTATTAAAATAAAACTTAAACTAAATGTTAGGCATATTTTTTTAAAAAAGTAAAGTTTAGGTACAAAAACAGAACAAAAATAATAATTTGGATACTAAATGTGTAGCTTACCCTTGTTATTATTAGGGTAAACTATGTCTTTAGTCAAAAAATTATAATTTTCATTCAATTTTGGTCATCAAACTATTTTTTTTTAAATTATCACTAACGTTACGTTTTGGTTTTATTTTGATCACATGCCATTAAAAAGTAACGGAAATGTTGTCATATCATTTTAAAAAAAATTTCAATAATGATGTGATATTACCTTATGGTGTCATATTTCCATCACAATTATTTTTTAACAGTGACCAAAATGAAATCAAAACATAATATTAATAGTGATTTTGAAAAAAAAATAGTTTATTGATCAAAATAGAACCAAAGTAATAGTCAGATGAGTAAATATGTAGTTTACCTTATTATTATTAAGTATAAATATTTGGGTTTTGCATTTATTCTTTTATTTTTGATATTCCCTTCTCTCTTTTATTTCTCCCAGCAGAAATCTGACTTTTTTTTTTTTTGCCTTCATAACATCATTTCTTCTTGCTTTGCTTTGCTTGTTCTTCAGTGGTTTTTTTTTCTTCTCTAAATTTTCTACGGGAGAAAAATCTTATCTTGCATCGATGAGGATCAGGAAAAGACAGGTCCCGCTGCCTTTCTCTTCCATTTCACCAGTACCTCTTTCATCAGATCCCATCTTCAACCGCCCTCCGGTGGCGGTGGTGCAACTCCCTCTACGGCAGCAAGAGCCATCTCCACCCTGCTTTGATCCTCAATACCCTTTTGAATCTGATCATCCAAATCACCCGATCGGACAACCACTACCAACCCAAGGCTTTGCTTCATCTTCTTCCCATGGAACCACAACACATGGAGAACAACAACTCATGAAGACCAAACAAGATTACTTGGTTAGTTCAATGATTCAATCCCATTAAAACAAAAAATAGTGTAACATTTTTGTTTGTTTGCAGGAGTGCACTAGTGTTAGAAATGTAACAAAAAAAACATAATCTTGTTTGAAATTATTTTTTTTCTTCTTTGATTGATTTGCACCCATGGAAGTTGCATCAGATAAAATTAACAAACCAGTTTTTGCAGGTCTTGAAGCCTGGAGGAGGAGGAGGTAGAGAAGAGAAGAATAGTGATACCGGGTAAGAAATGAAGGGTCTTGATCTAAACTTTTTAACCAACACTGAAATGATAGAATTATACTAAAATGAAAATAATATTGTACTGCTTTTAGGTGTTTTTATTTCAGCTTTGGCCGGCCACCGTACCTTCCTATCTAATCTAATCTAATCTAATCTAATCTTTTCCTTTTTTTTATCTTCAATTTTTGGTTAACTAATGTATATCCATGCGGTGCACGTTAGCATGAGATGCTGGTCCCCGTCTCAACTCTCAACCAATAATATTTACACCTTGCTCTATATTTTGCACGTATTTCATCCATTTTTTAAAACAAAAGTTTATGTTTGTGATTTTGAATCTTCTGGGTTTGATTTGTTTTCTAGGAAAGGAGAAGAACTAGGAATTGGGTTTCTTTCACAGTCGAGTTCTTCCAATCATCAAGGTAAGAATCTTTCTTTCGCGCAAAACTACTGTCAAAAAGATGGTGTAGTATTTGAATATGGTTGCTCTTTGTTGTTGTTGTTGTTGTTTTGATTGCACTTAAAATAAAGCTGTTGCGAGCATTGATGGGGACGGTGATGATGATGATACGATAATGGTGAAAGGTGCATACAATAAGAGTAATGCGGGGAAGATGAAGAGTAAGGTAAATAAAAAACTTGTGCAGCAGCAAAGCAACGATGAAGAAGCGGTGAAAGGGAGCAAAGACGACGGTTGCGGCAGTGCGAAAAAAAGAGGCCGAGGTGGTGGTGGTGCACTGAAGGAAGGGTCGAGGTGCAGTCGAGTTAACGGAAGGGGATGGAGATGTTGCCAACAAACACTGGTTGGCTACTCTCTATGCGAGCATCATTTGGGTAAAGGAAGGCTTAGGAGCATCGCTAGTGTTCGAGGCCGGGCGAAGGAGGAGCGACGGGCTAACAATGCCGATCATCGAGCTCCAATAACGTCGTCTTCGTCACAAAAGTTAGGAAAGCAAACAAAGAAGAGAGTAGTGAAGCTTGGGATGGTTAAAGCCCGATCGATGAGCAGTTTGCTGGGCCAAAACGACAATGGCGCCATTGTAGTAGCTGATGATAATAACTAGTAGTGAGTGTGTAAAGGTTTGAGGTGCAACTGCTCCCAACTTCTTGTTTGAGATTCTTGAGGAACTGATGCTTCATTTATTTATTTTTGGTTTGGTGTCATTATTTTATGGATGATGGGCTTAACGTTAAATAAATAGATTGGAGTTTTCACATATATATATATATAATTATTGTATATCTTTTGACCAAGGAAAGTGCATGAAAATGCAGTCACGGTCAAGGATGACCAATTGAATTTGTACCGGAAGTCGGGGGGGGGGGGGTTGAGCCAAGGGTAGAACTAAGATAAAATTATATAGAAGAGGTTAAGTTGTTTATCTTTAAAACTAATAAGGTTCTAAAAGGTAATTAAACTATAAAAAATAGAGAATTGAAGAGTTAATTTCACTAATTTTAAAATTGTCATGTTCTAAAATGTAATTAAATCAAAAAAATTGAAGGTAAGATTTAATTTTAAAAAACTGATAACGTCTTAAAAAAACAACCAAGCAAAAAACAATTTAGGAGTGTCCAGACTTAATTTCAATGATTTCAATACTTTTAAAAGTTTAAAATACAATTAAACCATAAAAGTTAGCGTAACTTAAAATGTTACATTTTAGGTTGTGTTTAACTATTTGAAGATGAATAATCAATCATACTTGTAATCACTAGTGCTCGAACCCCTAACCCTCTAAGAATAATAACAATTTCTTTAACCACTAAAGTAAGTTAGTTGATACATTTATATGTTTATTTAAAACTGTTTATTTTTACATTTTAATATATATTTATAGTGATATTTAAAGACATGACATTCCCAGATCATAAACATCATAATCTAAAAATAAAATTTATAAAAATATAATAATATGATAAGAATTAAAATAGTGACAAATAATATTTCAATATGAACAAAATAGATAAATTCATCTATTAATGTAGACTTTAAAATTTTCTGTATTATATTGAGAAAAATAAATAAATTTAAATACTAATATTGATAAAAAAATTAAGATATATTTTTTTAATAAAACAACTAGTTTTATTAAAAATAGGGTTAATATAAAAATAAGTGTCAAAGGCCTAAACTATACCTAAGTTAATTTTAAGTAACTAAAGAATCATTCGCTCAAAGTAGGTGCCTAACATATTCAACATTACTCTTTTAATGTGCTACTTGAAATTATACAATGACATAAATAGGATATTTTCCTATAATCATTAACACACTAATTTTTTTTTGCTCATAGTTTACAACCATAAACGTAAATTAAACACATAATTAATTAGGATATTTTCCTATAACCATTGACCAAAAAAATAGTTACATGAGATTATACAAGGACCATACATGGAAAAAAATTAAAACCTAATTAAAAGCTCAAACAAAAGATAAAAACGAGCAGATCTAACTGCATTGACAAACTAACCATGAAAAATGATCAAAACTATTAAAAGATTATTGATAACTACAAATCAAAATCGAGCGTCGTATTAAAAAGTCAGATATTAAAATAAAGTAATAAATTAGATTGAAACACTAAAATGTGACTTATAGATTATATATAAATATTGAAGGTGGCCCTTTATGCACATGCTTTGATTTTTTTCTTGAAAGCAAATAGACAGCGTGGATAGGCAGATGAGATCCACATGGAGATTAACAAGTGAGATTAGTGTACTAAAATGCTATTACTGGTGTTTTGAACCGCCAAAGCCTGGATGGAATCTTTTCCATTGAAAATGGAATTTGTTTTATATATTTTACTTAACATTTGTTTTTAATTAATTTAATATTTTATCCGTGAAGTATACTATATCGAAACACGTTAAATCTCACTTCTTTTATGTGATTTATTTTATCTTAATCTTTCGTTTTTTTACTTATAAATTTCTAACAAATAATATTACGAGCTATGATTTGATTTATAGAATTTTAAAGAAATTTATTACTATTATAACTTTTATTAACGATATTGAAGACACATAAAAGAAATTTTTCTATGATGAATTTTTAGTTGCAGAGGGAGTAATTATCAATCAATTAAGTGGTGTTTTAATGGATATTATGTAAGAATTTTTGTTCTTGAATACTTAATGATGATTCTTCAACGAATACTTCTTTTACGTAACAATTGAAGTTGTTGGAGACTTAAAGATAGATGTCCGGATGGAATTTATGTCAAGTGGGATATTATTACATATTGACTTAAAGATCAAGCGAGGACCAAATTAAGAATTCATCTAATTTAAGGATTAAATATGAAATTAGGCCTAAGATGGAGGCACTAATATTAATCCTAATTAATTTTAATCAATTATGGACTATCGAATGATTAATTCATAGCCTCGAGCATAAGCGATGACCAAATTGAAAATTCTCCTAAATTAAAAGTTTAGGGACCGAATTTAAAGGAGTCTAAATTTAAGAACTAGACCTAAAATCTAATTAATCTAGATTAATACTAAAATATTCTAAATCTAAATCTAAATCTAAATCAAAAGGTTTAATTTAAAAAGTAAAATTCTAAGACTAGATTAAAGAAATTGAAATTAAAGACATAAATTAAAAAAATTAACACATATAAAAGGATCTAATTGGAACAATTTAAAAATGTAAAACAAAAATTTAAACATTAAATAAAGGACTAAATGAATGAAACCAGAACATAAAGCTTAAATTAAGAAATCGCAGAAAATTAAGAGCTGGAATTTAAAGGACTGAAATGTAAATGCTAAAAAGTAAATACATAAATTAAAATAACAGAAATTTATAGGTAAAATTATAAATGACGAAAAATAAATTACTCGAATAAAAAAGGTTAGTGGTTAATTTAATTTTACCCGTACCATGAATAATGTGGATTGTACCCCAGGGCGGGTCACCACAAGGATGTATTAAGGTTTAATATTCATAATTTAATAATTTGACCAAAATGTAATAAATAAAAAATAGCAAGCAAATCATAATTAATCAGTGACCAAAAAGCAATAAGATAGAAAACAGTGGCCAAATTAAATAAAACAAAACAGCAAAAATAGTGTTGAAAACATTTTGATATTTCGATATAACAAATAGTGTTAAGTAATTTTAAGATTTTATATTTGATTTAAAATATTATATTAGATTCAATTATTCGAATATTTCAAATATTACTCCAAAGTTTTCAAATATCAATTTTACTCCTTACTAAATGAAAATTTGAGTTTTACACTTAAAATATATTTGAAACAATTTTTACAAAATATTTCGAATCACAATCGAGCCAAAATTAAGATTTCATAAGGGTAGTACCGATACTGCCTATACAGTATCAATACCCCCAAACATCGAATGCCAAAGTGGTACCGATACCCCTACACGATATCGATACCCCTATATATAGTAATATTGGTACCATGGTCAATGGTATCGATACTACCTCTTTGTTTTTGACTTCGAGAAATAACATAATGCAAAATGGATACCGATACCATGACCGGTACCGATACTACTTTACATAGTAGTATCGATACCCTTGGACGGTATCGATACTACACTACAAAGTAGTACCGATGCCCCTTTGCCAGTATCGATACCATTGGAATGCAACTGTCAAAATATTTAAATTTATAACAGGTAGTACCGATACCCCTATGAATGAGTATCGATACCCATACGCTTCCAGTGGACTTTTCAAGTGGATTTCACACCACAACAGCTCTATTGACTCCACCAAGATTTCCAATGTTAAGAATTTATTGAAAACATTTTGATGTTTCGATATAACAAATTAAGATAAATGAATTTTAAGATTTTACAAATGATTTTCTAAGTATATTCGATACAATTATTCGAATATCAACATATTACTCCAAGGATTTCAAAGTTCAATTTAAATCCGTACTAAAGTGTAAAATTGTGTTTTATACTTAAAATATTTTTGAAACAATTTTCACAAAGTATTTCGAACCAAGAATGAGCCAAAAATCAATTTTACAAAGTGATGTACCGATGCACAACATTGATGCATCGATGCACACCTATTTCAAATGCATTTTGTGTACCGATGCACAACCATGCATCGATACACTCAGGATTTTATTGAAACATCGAATTGATTTTGTGTACCGATGCACACACCATGCATTGATGCACACCAAGCTATTTTGAAACATCGAAGCAAATTTGTGCATCGATGCACACCTTAGTGTACCGATGCACTAAGTCTTCCAACGGTCGAAATATTTAAATTTTACATAGTGTACCGATGCACAAAGCCTATGCATCGATGCACCACAAGCTCCCAACTGTTTTATTAATTGTTTTCACACTCTAACAGCTCTACTAACTCCATTAATAATCCCCAACATTCAGAAATGACCCAAGGAGTATTTAAACAAGCTTAGAGGCCATTGATCAACAACAAGAAATAAGAGAAAAGAGAGAATCAAAGAGAATGCCTTAAACTTATTGTTTGAGCATTACAAGCCCATTTTTCATTCAATATTCATTTTGCTTTCAAGAGAACCATTTGTGCTCTATTATATTTATCCTTGAGTGATGTTTCTTTGTTCTAGAATTGTGCAAACAATCTACCTTGTGAGGTTTTCTTGTAAGTTTGCGAAATTTGTGTATTTCTCTTTGAAAAAAAGTGTGCTCAAGAATTTGGGGTATAATTCTTGAGGGAGTTGTAAGGTTACTCTTTGTCCTGAAAAGAAAGAACAAATTAGTGAATTTGTTAGAAAATCCTTAGTGTGGATAGCTAAGGTAGTGGAAGTAGACTTTGGTTGAGAAATTCGAACCACTCTAAATCGCTGTGCAAATATTTTCAATTTTCTGCAAAATCTACCACTGAAATTTTTATTGCCAATTCACCCCCTCTTGGCCTATTTTGTCGATCGATTAACTCAACAATTGGTATCAGAGCCTCACTCATTTGAAGGTTTAATCACCTCTTGAGTCGATTCGGGAAGAGTTACATCGATAATCAAGTCTTCAATGGACTCCACCTCAAACTTCGACTTCGGTCTTGATTCATTGCCCGTCAACAAGCCTCCTTTCTTCAATGGAGCTAACTATGCCTAT